GCGGTAGCAGGCTAGGCTAATCTCCAACGCGCGTTTTTTGCTTCAAAATGAGTTCCCATGACCGTCAGAATGTGACTGAACAAAGTTTCACAAGCGAAGAGCAAGCAGATGACATCACTGATAAGAGAGGAAAGACTAATTCAGAGGTGTGGAAGTGGTTCGGCTTAATAAGATCTGATAAACTGCAGGTTTCAGTGTGCTGCAAAGTGTGACGGAGAGTCGTTCCAACTAGCGGTGGGAACATCTCCCTTGTTCCACTCGATACAAAATGCTGAGAGTCAGAAGATGAAGCTCAATAAAAGTTTGAGTCGACGTGTCCCTGAAACACCCCCAGCTGTAGCAAAAGAGAAACACATGCAGCAGATGTTAGGTTATGTTGGTTAAAGTTAAAACTATTAATAGTGACAAAGTTGGGAGTTTTATGTTTATTTGACATGATTTCAAATTTTTTGAAGACTAAATACAAATAAAAGGTGAAGATTAATTTATTTGTACAGTTTTTCTGAGGTTTTTATATTGTTTATATCAATATTGAATTCTATCGTTATCGACCCAAATTAAGAAATATATTGTGATAAGTTTTGTCCATATCGTCCAGCCCCAACACAAACACAGATTCAGTCTGAGCAGTTCAAATTCAGTTCCTGATGGCACGAGTTTCTGCCCGTAGGAACACAACAGTAGCTAAAACAAGCTTAAAGTAGAGAAGAAAGAAAAAAACAACCAGTTCTTGACATTTTAATATTCATAAAAGTTTTTGCCAACTGTTTCCAACGAGCTTAACAATTTGATATTTGAATATTTAAAATAGCCCGAAGTATGTGAAAGGAGTTAAGTAAAATATACACAGGAAAACACAAATGTGATAAAATTATCATGTTTCATCATCTGACGCTAAATTGTTTATTGCAATGCAGAAAAACTGTGGATTTAAAATGTTTTCCCTGACCCTGGTGGAAGGGCCTCATCCTGTAACTGCTTTATATCCCAGAGGGACTCGTATCGCTCCGTACTACTAAAGAAAAATCTTCTCTGCCTGTGTTTGTGGAAGAAAAATGCACAACTGCTGTCTGGACAGCAGAAAGAACATTGTCAGGGTGTGGCGTCAGCCTCAGGTTGATTATGTCACTAACAGTGCTGATACTTTTTGAAAAGGATTTTACTTCACTACAATGTGTTGTGCATATTGTTGCCATCTAAAACAGGTTTTGTTAAATGTTGCATACAAGCTTTTTAATCACGAGTCTGCTTTTGAGGATTCAAACACCTTTGCTCAGATTATCAAAGGTGCACACAGACTTTGATGAAAAACACGCTAAACTCGAGCTGTTTTCTTCCAGATACTTTAGTTGCCGTATGAACGGCCTTTTGTGTCTTTGTGGTTTGAAAAATGTAGTGTTTTGACTTTGTGACGTTTTAACAGTGTGATATACGAAACCTGTAACCGATCTTTGTTAAAGTGCTGGTTATTACAGCTTATGCAATAACTTCCTCTTTACTTATTGTTCACTGCCATAAAAGAGGGTGATAATGTAACTGTGTGTGTGTGTGTGTGTGCAAGACAGCCATATTCAAGATGGCTACCTTGGTTGTTGTTTGTTATCAAGCACCAAAAATGGTTCATTTTCAGTTTTTGCCTGTTTGCCTGATTTTGGCAAAAAGACTGAGTTTGTCTGATTTGTTTGAAATAATTTAGCATCTATTGCTCAGTGTTCTTTATTGTTTTAGATGCTGACTCAGTTGATAGAGTTGCTTCTCAGCTGGAAGGTCGCCGGATCAAATCCTGGCCTGGGACCTTTCTGGGTGGAGTTTGCATGTTCTCTCCGTGCATGCTTGGGTTTTCTCGAACGGGTAGAGTTTGGTCCTTCCAATCTCAGGCTCAGGCCTGAGGCTGGAAGGACTGAACCACGATGGCACAATGGCAAAGCAGCGACACAGAAAACTCCACAAGTGTGTCGCGGTCATACCCGTACCGTGGATGTGCATTGTAAGCACAGAAAAAAGTTAAAACAAAAACAACAGGAACAAAAAAAGATCGAGTTCACCGGGAGCCTGTGGAGCTGCGACTCGGCTGAGCGCGGCCATCTTGGCAAAGAACACCGGAAACTGAGGGATTGTCTTACGTACCTCTTTATCAGATTGGTGCGATTGCCAGAGACTTCTAGTCTCTTGCATTGTAGCCAGAGCTTGAACTGTGTATTATTGTGTTCTTCAATAAATTCCAGGTCAGTTTTTACTCCGAGGACCTTGTTTTTGTTTAAGTTGACATGGACAAAAGCATTGGAGGTGGTCATTGTTCATGCCTTGTGGCGCCTGACATACGGGACCAGTGTTTCCCCTAGTTAGCTTGCCATGGCGGGGTGCTCATCTCAGCCATGATTTTTGCTGATGAGGGGGACGGAGACATGTCTGAGTGCAGCTTGTACTAACAGTTTTTGAGCGGGGGCGGGGGGCGTTCAGCATGAGGGAAGAGGCAGTGTGAGTGCTGCCTTGGGCTTTTTAGCTAGAGAGCCTGTATTTTGCGCCACTACCTTAGTGATATGTCAGTGCCGGGTGGGGGTGGGATGGGCAAGTTCAGTTTGGTAGGCAGGGTGCTCAGTTCTGTTGATGGGGTGGGGCACCCTGCCTGTATAATGGTAGGGGAAACACTGGGGACTTTTGGGGTTTCCTACAGTACTCGTAGCATCATCCCTGACCTTATTTATGGATGCCTGTTATTAATGCTTCTATGAAAATAGGTCTGATTCTGTTCTTGACATCACTGCATGAGCTCAGGACCACTTCCACAAATCATTGTCTGTTAACACAGCTATCTGTACCATCCACAAATGTAGGTAAAGCTCTATCATGCAAAGAGGAAGCCATATTTGATCCTCATCCAGAAATGCTGCCATCTTTACTGGGCTAAAGTTCATTTAAAATGAATTTAGTAAAAGTGGAACACTGTTCTGTGGTCAGATGAATCAAAATTCTTAATATTTTTGTAGACTACGGACACCACCTAAACAGGAGAGGAACCGTCCATCCTGTCATTAGCGCACAGTTCAGAAGCGTGCCTCTCTGGGTACACTAGTGCATCTGGCAGAGGCAGGTCACATCTGGAAAAACACCATCTGTGTAGAAAGATCTACAAAGTGTGTAGAAGATTCTGGGTCCTGAACTGGCCTGCCTGCAGTCCAGATCTCTAATAATTGGTGCACCATGAAACAAGAAAGCAAGACCAGTGCTGCTGAGCAGCTAAAATTATATACCAGACAAGAATGGGACAATGTCCCCTCCAAGAACAGCTGGTCTCAAAACATCCAGATTAATGCTCAACATTCCAGGTAAAAAAAATCCAACAAAGTTCAGTCAGGTCCTCTGGACGGTGTCTTTTTCTTGAAATGTTTCGTCTTTCATCCAAAAGTCTTTCATTCATAAGACTGTTTATTGCAGTTCTTCGGACAGATGAAGACTTTGGGATGAAGAAAGAAAGCGATAACAATGACTACCTCAAACGAGTCAGTGGGGGAGAGGGTGGACTCCAGAAACCATCTTGGCACCATCAAACTGGTTGACCCACTATGTGAAGGTGCTATTTATAAGACTGAGTTTTTACATATTGTTTTCTCCTTTTATTAACAGAATCCCAAAGAACATGTTAATAAACTTATGACGTGCCTTTGAAACATTTGATTTGTGTATAAATTTCCTGCAAAATAATCTGAAATTAAAAATTCCTCAGCAGGTTTTTTTTTCTTTCTTAAATAGATTACAAGCCAGTGCTTAAAAATCACATGTGGCCATCTCAAAACTGAAAGTAAAATATATATTTTAAATAACGTAATCTCAGAACACCACACTTGCAGTTGTCAGCTGGCCTACTTTATGTTTTGTGTTGTTTGTGCTGTTGTTGAATGGACACTGGCTCTGTTGTTTTCTCTTAGGCACTGTGCAGTACATGCTTAGGGTTTGACTAAATGCTGGTGACTGACTTCCTTTAGCGTTTGGTTTTGTATCATTATATTCTGGGTGCATTTCCTTTGTATTGGGGAGTTAAGTGAATTCTTTGTGTGGCTGAATGCTGCCTTTAAGCAGCCGTCGGGGGTTCAACTGGAACTAACATGAAAGATGGGATTGTGGTGGTCACAGAAGTTGGCCTTTGTTGGATCGTTGTTCTGATGTGATGAGGCAGGCCTCGGCCAACAGAGATGGTTTTTAACACTAGATATGGCCTCGTTACACAAACTTCACAATTTGCCGTGTTTACCAGGTACAGAAACGCCTGGTTGTAACAATGATTCATGCAAAATGTTTGTTCCTAGATTACTTTCTAAAACATGCCCTTTCATTGTGAATTGTATGTACCTGTTTAGACGGGTTGATGTAAGAAGTTTCAGTTTGTCCTAGACAACCTGTTTTCATCTTGGACCACCAGATCTCGCCTCGAGGTTGTCCGGTTGACAACCAAGTGAAATAGACATGAATTAAAGTTCTTCATCCTCGTGATGGATTTTGGTCATTTTGAACGTCTGTAAGAAAGCAAGGGGGCAAAAATGTGTCTGTTCATGTGATCCTTTAAAAACCTTCCACTGTAATGATGACACAGGAATGAAACTGATGCTGCTTTCAACAAATTAAGAACCAGAGCCACAGTTTGACCCAGTCAGGGTAGAGCAGGGCGAGTCGTGCTGTCTGATACACGGAGGGTGGTCAGTGACAGACAGACTGCAGGTGAGAGCACCAATCAGTGTTTCCTGGAGGACACCCACAACCCTGATCGAAGGTGATTTGTAATAAATTATTAAACGTCTACGAATTAAACGTACGTGTTCGCACGTGACCAATTCGCTGCAGCTGAGGGAGATACCACAACTGATGCACCGTCACCCCCTTCCCCTCCTCCCGCACCACGGCCTGATTTCCCCCGGACATTTATATAAAATAACTTTGTTTTACGTGAATGTGTTCGGAACGTCGTCATCATCACACAGACGTGCAAAGAGAGAGCGCGTGCCGCCATGAGGGCACTCATCCTGTTTGAGTGTCTGACGGTGAGAGGAGGCTGCGTCTGCTGCTTTACTTCTTTTTATTAAACACTAAAACACTCTTACTGTCCCACACGATAACAGAGATGAGTGTTTCTGTTCAACAGAAATATTTTACTTTAAACTCAAAGTTCTCTCTGAGAGCCAGTTTCAGGTGTTCATACTGAGAGGTAACTTTACTGTGATCAATTTAATTTAATAAATAATCAAATATGAAAAATACATAGTATTCAATAATAATATTTTTTTATCTTTGGCTTTTAATTCAGCTTGAAATGCTGGTTTTACTGTTTTTAAGTTATTTGTTTTATTGTTTTTTTACCGTTGTTTTATGATTTGGTAATTCATTCTGTTATATCTGTTGATTTTATTGTTTTTATGCTTGTTTGTGTCAGTGTTCAGCACTTTGGCCAATGGCGTTGTTTTTAAAGTGCTTTATAAATAAAATTGTGTTGTAAAGTTGTAATAATAATTTAATTTCTCCACAACAGTGGAGTTGGTGTTTAGATGTGTGTGTGTTTGTGTGTGTGTGTGTGTGCGTGTGTGTGTGTGTTTTCTATTGTGGTCACTTCATGAGTGACCTGAGTTCTGCAGTGAAGTCTAAAAGCTCTTGGGATGAAACTGTTGCAGAACCTGGTGGTTCTGGTCCTCAGGCTGTGGTACCTCCTGTCAGAGGTCAGCAGAGTAAACGGTTCATGTTGTGGATGTGAGTTGTCTCTTTAGATATTTTTTTTGCTGTGGTCACAGCGTCTGAGACCAGTGCTCTGGATGAATGGGAGGGATGTCTTAATGATCTTCTCCGCCGTTCTCACCACCCTCCTATAATCCTTCCAGTCTGCAGCTGGGCACCTTCCATCCCAAAGTGAGATGCAGCTGGTCATGATGCTCTCGGTGGTTCCTCTGTAGAATGTGCTGAGGACATGGGGTGGAAGTTGTGATCTCTTCAGCCTACAGAGGAAGTGCAGACACTGCTGGGCTTTCTTCACTAGGGACCCAGTGTTTCTTGACTATGATAGCTGATTGGTTATGTGCACCCCCAGGAACCTGGTGCTCTCCACCACCTCCACGTCTGTGTTGTTTATGAGCAGCGGCGTGTGATGTTATTCTGTTTTCCTGAAGTCAGTAATGAGCTCTTTGGTTTTGTTGACATTCAGAACCAGGCTATTTTCCCCACACCAGTGCACAAGTTGTTCCACCTCTTCCCGATATGCCTGATCCTTGTTGCTAATCAGGCCCACGACCATGGTATCATGTACATATTTGATGATGCGGTTGGTCTTTGACTTGGCAACAAAATCGTAAGTTGTCAGAGTAAAGAGAAGTGGACTCAGAACACAGCCCTGTGGGACGCTTGTGCTCAGACTGATAACATAGGAGGTGTTCCTTCCAACTTGTACTGACTGTGGTCTGTCAGAGAGGAAGTCAAGGATCCAGTTTCTGAAGGTGTTGTTGAAGCCTGGTGGAGCCCGTTTGCTGACCAGGTGCTGTGGGATGATTGTGTTGAAGCTGAGCTGAAGTCCACAAACAGCATTCGTACATGGGTGTCCTTGTCCTCCAGGTGTCCTTCTCCTCCAGGTGTCCTTGTCCTCCAGGTGTTGCAGGCTCAGGTGGAGGACTGAGGCCATGGCAATGACCACATGAGCTGAAATCCTGTAAATATAATCCCTTTGAATGAAATAATCATTTTAGGGGAGACATCTGTTATTCTGGCAAATTAAAATAGTTCATTTCTACTTTACAAAGGACTTCCTGTGATAAAAAAAATATATATCTGACAATCCCTCTTCCCAATTCCCCTATTGAAAATATTAAACTGACAAAAGTAAACAACAAAAAAGTTCAAACTGTCTTTTCTCTGATGTTGGTCTGGATGCTGCTTCATTAAAGAACGCTATACTGTGTACTTTTACTAAGGTCATGTATGCTGTATACTGTGTAC